TCTCTCTCAGTCCAACCCACCTCACAGGCTTGTTGTTGAAGAGAATTAGGCATATTTGCCACCTCTAGCCATTTATAAAAATAACAAGGCTGGGATAATAAATAACATTAAATAAACATAACCTTTTATTAACTGAATGTCCTCCGGGGCATCTGCCTTCAAATCTCACTGGAATGACTGAAGGCTGGTTTAAAGTTTGACATTCAACAGGCATTCCTAGATTCAGTCTCTCAGCAGTTAAAAAATAAATAATTTACACTCAGCAATCCCTGAACAAAATAAAACCAAGGGCAGTTCAATGTGGTGGTCTCTCATGAAAAGAAGACACTATGCAAAGTTGTCTTGGAATGAGAGCCCAGAGCGAACTCCAAAACCCTCTTTTATTAGAAGCAATCTTTGTTAACGTAGCAATTTTGTTAACCTCCTATCACAAACGCATTACATCACACTGATCATTCGCATAAAGCATACAAGGCTGCAAAGTTTAAGTTTGCTACAGTTCTGGTTAGAAATGGCAACAATTTGTCCTTGCTCTGTGTTCCAGCCAACCACCAGAAGGCTCCATTGTCCTAGCACGTACACAAAGAACAAAGAATCATAGTTCCCACATCTCCCCTGTTTTTCCTTTTTAAGAGACAGGGAGTGTTTTAGTCCCAATAACAGTCTTTGTCAGGCGCATAGGCAAGAGTGCTGTGCATGCTGATGTTATCCACGGCGTTCATGACTTCTTCAACCATCACAAATATCTTGTCCTCGTCTGGGTCGTCACAGGTTGGCTCTCCTATCTCATCTTCGGATGGCAGTGGTTCATATGTGTTAGTTATTTGTTGATTCCAGAGAGCCATTACCTGCGCAGTGGCTTTTTTCTCAGCCAAGAGGGATAAACTGTTAGAAATAGTGCGTACAAAGATGGGTAATACACAAGGCAATACAACACATCCCACAGCAATCATACCAATGAGCACTACAATAGCTTGCAAACCAGGCAATTTCGGGAACCAGGATCCAAACATGTCTCTAAAACCAAGACCATTCTATGTTTGTACGGGTACATGTGCAACCTTGATCATTCTATCAGTAATTTGTTGGATAACTTTTCCGCTATCATCTACCTCAATACAACAATTACTAAGGTTAAATTTTCCACACACTCCTCCTTCTTTGGCAAGAAGATAATCTAAAGCCAAGTGATTTTGCATAATATAAGTTCGTGAGAGCGTGCTTTCTTTAGCTAATTTTTCGAGTGCTACAGCTGTTTCATTGGTTATAATTTCTACTACAGCCTGCAACCTTATGATTCTATTGAGCATGTCTATAGGGGTAGGTGTATCATTGGACCACCATGTATTGTTGTTCCACGTGCCTAGGCACAACAATTCTCCTATTGGGAGTAATCGATTGTCGGTCTGATTACGTTGGAAGCATACATGACCTACTAAGTTAGTAGAAAGTAGCCAGGTTTCATTGGCAGTCTGGTGATATGTAAAGTTGTTTTGAGTAAGTAATAATTCTGTGTAATTTGCTTCACGACCATGCCATGGCCATTGGTCCCCCATATTGGTCCCTCCACAGACAAAACAATTTTTGACAGTTAGTTCTTTGGTGACTGTCTCAACTAGTTTTATAAACATGTTATGAGCTTTGGGGGGAATAGGGAGAGAGTTCAATTTGCCAATTTCGTCTTGATATTCCCAGAAAACTTTGGGTGGTGTTGACTTTATGGAGGTGGTGTGGATTTTCAATACAATATAACCATATGGGTCACGTCCGGTACCGTCGATACCAAGACCTAAAAAATGATATTGTACCCCTTAGATTCAGGTAAGTGAGTGTACAAGCAAATGGGATTACATTTGTCAGTGGTACATGAAGTAGAGCTTGATTTAACAGTGATATTAATATTTTGAGGGCCTCTTACTCGAGCAGAGTGAATAGGTGGGGTGTACCAGTAGTTGTAAACAGTGGTGGCTCCCACATTAGTCCCGGACACCTTTTGAAAGAGATATTTCTTTTCCTGTAGATAAGATCTCTGCCAGCTGTGTGAGCCGCAGGTAACTCCTGCAGCATCATTAGGACCTTGACGTTTACTGATGGCAAGGCAAGCATCAAAGCATACTGAGGTGTTGGTACCCCCCTGAGTGACATTATGGGTTATGTACCCATTTTTTGTTTGACTGGTAGAGAACATTCCTGCAAGATCAGAACTGGAGCCACCTTTGTATGCATAGACATATAGGGATGCTGTAATGGGTCCCACTGCCTTGGGCTCATAGCACTGAATGCCTTCGGCAGTGTAACATCGCGGATATTGAGTGTTGTTATGCAGACGAGGGGAGACCGTCGTGGAATTGCACTCAGGCTTCAAGTTATGATAGATCAGGGTGGATTGGGTTTTCGTTCCGCTGCGAGTAGTTTTGATGCAGGCGTCGCAGGAGAATGGGGTGGCTGTCGTATCGGGAGGAACAATGTGGAAACCCAGGAGGCAAATGATGAATGCAGCGGGCAGCTTCATGATGCTGATCTAGGCAAGACTGGTTTGTGTAGGAAAGGCCTCACTTGTCGTCCGGGGACCCAGGTGGTGGCGTTGTTGTAGGAAACAGCCGCGTACCCTCATCCCCAGGTTATAAGTTCAGCTGGCCCGTGCCATGTGGGATCTGGCAACTGTCTAAAGTAGACTGGAGGTCTAGGAGCATCCTTGGATGGAGAGCAAAAGTGTCGAGAGGCAGCTGAAGAAGCAGGTGCGCCAGACTCATTCAGGAAATTCAGTGTAAATAAGCACAAGTTAAGCTTGTTTTGCAGCGTGGGTCGCCCTGGGGTGAGTTTCCCCATCGAGTTTTAAACTTTGTCAAGAGCATTCTTTAGGGTCAGATTGGCTCTTTCTACTATGGCCTGCCCTTGAGAATTGTATGGAATGCCAAATTTGTGCAAAATGCCCCATTGTTTACAAAAGGTAGCAAAGTTGGTACTAGTATAGGCGGGGCCATTATCAGTTTTTAATTCCAAGGGCTTTCCCAGGCACGCAAATGACCAGATGCAGTGGTTAATGACATGTTTTGTGGTCTCTCCTCTTTGCAGGGAGGCCATGATGAACCCTGAGTATGTGTCCACTGAAACATGGATATATTTCCATGGTGGAAAAAGTGCATACTGGGTTACATCCATTTGCCAAATTTGGCAGGCTTTTAAAGCCTCTGGGATTTACTCCCATTGGCAGGGCAGGGGGGCTTGCTTGCTGTAAGTAGGGTATTGTTGAATAATTGTAGCAGCCTCTTGGGCAGTGATTTGGAATTCCTTCATAAGAGCCCTTTTATTTTGATGAAAATAGTTATGACTGTCCCAAGGGATTAGGGGAGAAAGAGAGAAAGCGGATAGAATAGTAGCAGCGGATGCGGCTGAAGCTGCTGCGTCAGCTCTGTCATTTCCTTCTTGTAATGGGCCGGGAAATGGTTGATGACTTCATATATGAGCAACAAAGAAAGGGTGGGAGCAGGTTGAGATGAGTTGCTGAAGCGAAATGAATTTAGTAAGAAGGTTGTTGTGGCTCCGGGCTTGGATTCAGCTCCTGTGACTGATATGAGTTCAAGTGAGGAGGTCATGGCAGAAAAATATGAGCCGGCCTGGCTTAGTGATTGGACTGATAACCAGGATGAGGAGATGGACATGACAAAGGACGACAGACCTGATGTATTAGAATTGTCAGGACCTTTGACCTCCTCTGGTTCCTTATCTGATCAACAGCCGGGAATGGCTGACAGGGAAGTTTTGAGAGAGTCTTCTAGTGGAGATGAGAACTTGGAAAATTTGTGGTTAAATGTAAAAAATAGAAGATGGTTGAGAAGGCAAAATCAGCTGGAGCGAATGAGGAGAGCGAGTCAGTAAATTAGCACGTTGTCTCAATGAGTATAAAAGGACACAGCTGGGCTGGTACATTTTGCCAGGAACAAAATGACTATTTGAGTGAGGACGTTACAGCAAGAAGCTCTGAGACTGGAGATTTATTGCCAGGACTGGTTTGCCGTACAGAGTAAAGATTTATGCTGTGGCTTCTGCCAGCCGTTATCTTGTAAGACTTCTTTCCGTTTGATTTAATTGAGAAATGGTTGCTTTCTGTTTTGTTCATTTGAATTTTGAAGGGGAGTCATAACAAAGGTCATTGTCCAGAGTGGGAGAGAGATATGCATCGGAGATATTCTTTACTATAAAAGTGACATAAAGACTGTCCAAAATTAAATTGAAAGGTTGATCGGAAAAACGTTGAAAGGCCAATATAGCAGCAGCAAGTTCTGCCCTTTGGGCAGACGATTGTGGCTGAGTAACTTTGGTGTGCCATTGCCCTTCTGAAAACCAGGCATAGGCACCATATTGCTTCCCTCCATCTGCATATATAGTGATCCCAGAGGGAATGGGGGCTGTGGATTCTATTAATTGCCAATTAAAAGGAACCAGCTTAAGTAAATTAAGCCGGTCATCTGCAGGGAGATGGCAGGAAATAGTCACCGGCCATTCTCCCATTACAATTTGTAATGACCCTGAATTCAATAGCATTACCTCCCAATCGGACAATCACATGGGGACATATAGTACAGAGGGTTCAATAGCCATTAGGGTTATACAACGTTGATGCCCTTTGTGAATAAGTATAGAGAAGAGCAAAGGTTTGGGGTTAATGGATTTACGAGGGGTATGAGGCAGATGTATCCATTCTAGGATGAGAAGTTTAGAGAGACTTTGAGCAAGAATTGCAGTAGGTAGCTGAGGTGTATTGAGCAAGATTAAGGAAATAGGAGAGTTGTTGTGACATCGGTCGACCCACTTTTTCTACATAATGTGCTGAATGTCCTGGGTGATTTTCAATTGATGATCTGTAAGGGTAATTTTATCCCCTGGAGTGGTTCCTCCCTTTAATGCATCAAACAGGGGGCTGAGCATGTGTGTAGTGATGCCAAAATAGGGATGGGTCCAATTAATAGCCCCTAAATATTGTTGTAATTGTACGAGGGATGTGGTGCGGGGCAGGACTAATGCTGGTAAAACTGGTGCCGAATAAGCCTGCATTAGCTTATGTCCTAGATATTGAAAAGGATGTCATGTTTGAACCTTTTCCAGGGTTATGTGTAAACCACCTTGGTGTAGCAAGGTGATAAGGTTGTCCAGGGTAGCGGCAACTGTGCCTTCCGGACCGGGGGCACCTATGAGATTGTCATCCATATAGTGGTAGACTAGAAATTGTGGGTGTTGTGTTCTATAGGGCTGAAGGATTTGATTATCATAGTATTGGCACATTGTAGGGCTGTTGAGCATGCCTTGAGGCAATACCTTCCATTGATATCGTTTAGTGGGATGAGAATTGTTAGGTTGGGGAATAGTAAAGGCAAAGAGTTTGCGGTCTTCCGCATGAAGGGGGATAGAAAAGAAACAGTCCTTGAGGTCAATGACAACGACATCTAAATAATCCCATCATAAATGGAGCCTGAATACTATACATTTGTATAGCTTGTTTGATATCCTTGATTGATTTAACAGGGATGGGTTCCCAGTGCAGGACGTTATGCGCGTTCTGCGCATAAACTAACAGGAACGCTGATGGGCAATCGGAGTGATCTAACTCACCAGTTCTAACTCCCGCAGCGATGGCAGCATGAACCACGCCCATAGGAGGGGGTAAAGCAGGAGAGGAAGGCACAGAAGGGAGAGCAAGAGAAGAAGAAGAGGGATTGGGTGAGGGGGGGGTCAGGAGAAGGGGAGGTTTACCGACCTCATTTGCCTCTGGGGGGTCAGTCGGTTTAAGAGACACAGGCGCCATAGCGGGAGGCAAGAGTTGTACAGCAGGATTCACCTAGGGAGGGGGTCCAGAAAGGGGGCCAAATAGGGGTTGCTGTAGAGAGGAGAGACCCTCAAAAACCACCCTCCAAGCAATTAATATAGACAAAGGGGACCTAGGACTTGCGTGAAGGTATTTTCCAATCTCCTTTCATACTGTAGTTTTGATACTGCCTTTAGCCGGATAAGAAGGGCAGTGTTGCCAAATGTATTCTAGGAGTTCCTCAATAGAGGTTTTTGTGAGGGGGGCACAAAGGGAGCCCCCCTTTTTAAAGGTAAAAAAAATTGTTTGGTCAATTCTCTGATTTCCTGAATGTGAGCTGCCTGCTCATTAGAGAATCTACCACCCATACTCACAAGGGATCCGTTGTCGCCAGTGATTCAAGCGGATGGGGTGCACCAAGTCTATTCCAGACAATGAGAATAGGTGTGCCAAAGACATATCACTTGTGAGTGGATCACGTTGGGGTCACCAGTTGTGGTGGTCTCTCATGAAAAGAAGACACTATGCAAAGTTGTCTTGGGATGAGAGCGCAGAGAGAACTCCGAAACCCTCTTTTATTAGAAGCAATCTTTGTTAACGTAGCAATTTTGTTAACCTCCTATCACAAACGCATTACATCACACAACATGCACTGATCATTCGCATAAAGCATACAAGGCTGCAAAGTTTAAGTTTGCTACAGTTCTGGTTAGAAATGGCAACAATTTGTCCTTGCTCCTTGCTCTGTGTTCCAGCCAACCACCAGAAGGCTCCATTGTCCTAGCACATACACAAAGAACAAAGAATCATAGTTCCCACAGTTTAAGGTGGCATATGATGCTTCTCACCCCTCCTATTTTATTTTCATCAGCTGAGTATATAAAACCACTCCTCTTTTCTTGCATTGTGTCAAGGAGGTAAATATTTTCCCTAGTTTTGGCTGTATCAACAATTGTTCATATTGCTTTTTAATATATACTTCTTGTAGGCAGATTATATCAAATTTTAATTTCTCTAATTTATGGAAAGTTTTCCTTCTTTTAACGCCTGAATTAAGTCCAGTTATATTAATTGTAATCAATTTTTTCTCTTCCATGGTTATATTTTATAATTAGGTTTGGCAGCTCTCGTGGATCTTGGTTCATGTTCTCCTTTGGCTTCCTCCTTTCCACCTACTGCACCTTCCTCTTTTTCAGTCATCATTTGGCAGTCCTCTTGGAATTCAATTAGTGAAATTTCTTTTTCTGCCTCTTCCTCTTTCCCTCTGAAAAATTCTGTATAAAATGATTCAGCTTTCTCAACTGAATCAATTCTGTATCTCTGTTCTTGCCATGGTAATATTAAACCTTCTGGAATCAGCCATCTATAATTCACCTCTTTTTAAAGTAGCAATTTGGTCAAGAATTGGTATTTTCTTCTCATCTCTCTCACTATTCTGGGTACTTGTTTCAAAACCACAATCTCCTTATCTTTATATTTCAATGTTTTCTCTCTTGCCACTTGCAATATTTGCATTTTAATGGCTTTCTTTGTAAATCTGATGTGAACTTCTCTTGGTAGGCTATCTCTCATTGCGTATCTTGTGAAGACTCGATAAACCTCTTCTATTCCATCCATCCTCTTCAGTTATTTCCAAAGCTTCAGTCAATATTTCTATCATTATCTCGGGTAGATTTTTGTCCTTTTTCTTCCTCTATGTTTTGGAATCTGAGATAAAATTCTGATCTGTCCATCTCCCATCTCAGCATACCACTTTTATCTTGTTCAACCACAGTTAATCTGGTATCAATGTCTTCAATCTTCTTATCTCTTTGTTTATCTTCTTCTTCGATTTTTAGTAGTCTCTCATCATACTTCATCATCATTTGTTGGATGTTCTTGACTATTTCATCGGTTTTCCCTGTTCTTTGTTCAATGTCCTCTGTTCTTTGTTCGATGTTCTCTATTCTCTTTTCAATATTCTCTGATCTTGTTTGAATGTTTTGAATTCCTTGCATAATCATCTGCAGGGTCACTTTTTCTTTTTCTTGTTCTTTCTCTTGCCTTAACATTGTCTGTATTGAACGTTGTCCTCCAGATGGTGGAGAGGAGGAAGTAGAAGTTGAAGAACCAGTAGCTGTTAATTTCCTACTCATTTCAAACAATTCAAAATCTTCAGTTTCTTCTAGACCTTAATCCAATTGTGAAGTAACCAACTGCGATTCCAAATAAAAAGAGTAGGGAAAAAGAAGCCAAATAGTAATAATAATAAAAAACGAAAAAAGAATTTCTTCAGGTTCTTGTATATCTTAATCCAATCGATTAGTTAGATAACAATGAAAATTCAAAAATGAAAGAAAAAAACCATAAACATACACAAAGGAGAAAAAGTTGTAAAATCCTAAAAAAGACAGAAAAGTGAAGAATAAAAAGCTTTAAAAAAGGAAAAATTCTTCAGGTTCTTCAACACCCTAATCCAATTAAGAGGTCTCAAATATAAAAGAATGCATAAGAGAAAAAGAAAAAAAGCCAGGAAGATAAAAAGAAAGAAAAAAACAGTATTGGAGGTAGATGGGAAAACAAAAATACCAGAAAGTCAAAAAGAGAAAAAGAAAAAAAAAGGCTACTCCCTTAAAAAGAAAAGGCAGGGAGTCATTAATACTAAAACTTTTCTTTTAAAATAAAAAACAAATGTAAAAAATTAACTTCCAAAGACAAGCATAAAGGAAAAAAAAAAGCAAAGACAAGTTCCAAAGAACTACAAGTCCAAATAGCTATTTCAAAAAGTAAACTGTTGAGGAGGGGTAGCACAGTTTAGGAAAAATCAAGAAAACACACTGCACTTTGTTTAGTTATCCAAGGCTCTTGTTATAACACTCTTCTCCAGAAACTTATCACCTTTTCTTTTCCCATAAACTTCAACACCAGACTCCAGCTGTTGATAGAAAACCAGAAAAGCACCTGCAATAATACTCTCCCATGCTCTTCCCTCTATCTAATCAAATAGCAACGTCCTTGAAAAAAAAGTCTCAGTTCTTTCTTTCTCAGCTTTGTCTGGTCACAAGAGAAATAGAATATTTCCAAGCCTCTAGTTGGCGGTGTTACAAAGTTTCTTTACTTTCACTCTCCCACTCCTTTTCCAAGCAAAATACAATAAGAATTAATAAAAAGAAAGAAAAAGATATTTTTAAAAAAGAAATAACTAAAAGGGAGTCTCTAGCCTAAAATGGTTACAAAATCAAAAAGGAGGGGAAAAAATAGATGGAAAAGAAAAACCAGTCCAGTTTCAAAATATAAGATCATGTATAAAAAATCCAGCAATGAGAAAAAACCATTACTTTGACATTTCTGTTTAAAATTGCCGCTTAATCACTTCTGTCAAAACTTTTACAGATTCTTTCTTTTCCTTAGGGTGTCCTTTCAGATCTTAGAATAAAGAAAAAGAGATAGGCAGAAATTGTTGTTAGATGGTGCTAAAGGTACCATCGAAGGATGTAAGCTGCTCCAGGTAGAGCTGCCTTTTGCCCTTGATTGATGTTGATTTTGTCAATGCCAATGGTATTCAAATGAGGTTTCAGAAGTCTTGGGATTGCACCCAAGATTATCATCATTATTATATTTGTATCCTGCGTTTTCTAGATACAACTCAAGGTGGTGAATATACCCAATGTTCCTGTCTCCTATTTTCCCCACGACAACCTGTGATGTGAGCTGAGCTGAGAGAGAACTCCAAATCACCCAACCAGTTTTCATGCCTAAGGGAAGCCTACAAGTCCCCATCTCCTGGTTTCCAAGCCAGCACTTTCACTTCTACACCAAACTAGCTTTTGTGCACAGTCTATTCAGAAGTACCTTTGCACTGCGTATTCACCCTAGGAAACATTAAGGGGGTTCCAACTTAATAATATTTGTATTTTTCATGGTCTCTTTTTATAATAAATTCTGCTTTAAAAGCCAAGGTAGAATTGGCCTTTAAGAAAATACAATGCATAGTCAGCAGAGAATAACTAATAGCAATGCAAAAATTAATGGAAACATTCAAGTTAACTTGTTTGTACCTCCTAAGTACTAATAATTTGTTCCTTGTATCATTGCCATTTATTTATACAGAGTGCACAAATATTTAATAAAGGATTTGAAATAAAAAGATCCCAGCTCATAGAAGTTTATTCCTTTAAAAAAAAATCCATTACACATCCAGATTTAACTGAGCCTAATTGTCTTTAACTGAGCCTAATTGCCTTCTCATTCGTGGCAGGTGGCAGCACCTTGCCAAGCTTTGTTGATCTCAAAAATAAAAATAAAAAAATGGGAGGAAAATCTCCACAACAGTAAGAGAGCAAAAGAGTGAGATCTGGCTTGGACTCGGATAGGAGACAATGTTGTTGGAATACAATGTCCATTGATGGGTACTACGAGAATTTATTCTTCTAGAATCACTACATATCAGACAAGATGGAGCAGAGGGAAGATGGGGAATTGGAGGAGCTGTGGGAAAAGGCAGCAAGGGAAAGGCCAGTTAAGTAGGGCAGATAGATGTCAAGGCTCCCAAACCAAGAAAGATATGATGAATTTCATATTATTCCTCAGCTATTGACAGAACTAAAGCAAACTACCTGCATCATTATAAACATTCTCTGAGAACTTTTAGGAGGATCAGACTTGATCCTTTTTCTCCCAACCAAGTTATCTAAACTTTGCCGCCTCTTCTTTCTCTGGAATGCAGCCCCTCCCTCCCCAGACTCCAGACTCCCTTCCACCACAACAGGGTCCCACTTCACCAGATTCCTCCTATTTAGTACAGGTAGTCCTTGACTTACGACCACAATTAAGCCCCAAATTTCAGTTGCTAAGTGAAGCAGTTGTTTTGTGACTTTTGTCCCATTTTATGACATTTCTTATCACAATTATGAAATGAATCACTGCAGTTGTCAAGTTAATCACACAGTTGTTAAGTGAATCCATCTTCTGCATTGACTTTGCTTGTCAGAGGGTCGCCAAAGGTGATCACATGGCCCAAGGACATTGCAATCATCATAAATGTGAACCAGTTGCCAAGCATCTGAATTTTGAGTGCATGACCATGGGGATGCTGTGAAAACCGGTCATAAGTCACTTTCTTCAGTATTGTTTGTAACTTCAAACGATCACTAAACAAAAGGTTGTAAGTTGAGGACTACCTATAGCTGCTTTATAGCAAGAGGCAGAGCCCAATTTCTCCTACTAGTTCTTCAAAGCTTGGATAATGTGACACGACACAGCTAAAATTGGAAAGATCAATGGAATTTATTAAATCTACCAGGATCCATGTTTTAGGAGACTTGCAGTGAGTCAATCTTCTTTACTAAAATTAGCAGGACTGGACCATGATATTTTATTGCCAAATCCTAAACCTTAGAAGAGGCCTTCTCTTGGTCCATATACAAAACTGTCTGGTTTGGCAGATTGCTCATTCCTGGTGCCTTTTTTGGCAGTGGTCGCTGAGCAGCTGCCTTGCTCAGTGAATGGGACCAGTCTGTTTGCCTGCCGTGTAGAAAAAACTGGTGAGGAAGAAGATCATAGCAACGAGGTTTCTTTGCTTCCTGGTTCTTCCTGGTCTTCCTGAGCCAGAGTAGGAATAGATATTAGAAGCAAATAGCAATGGTGAACCAAAGGGACAGATGTCTATGGAGATTCTCAGTCATCCAGGTCATGGTTGTCCCAAAGGTGCTTTTTCAAGAGGCAACTGGATTTTCTGGTTTTTCTTTGAAGACATTTTGCTTCTCATCCAAGAAGCTTATTCAGAGCTGAAGAAGCTTCTTGGATGAGAAGCAAAACATCTTCAAAGAAAAAACAGACAGTCCAGTTGCCTCTTGAAAAAGCCCCTTTGGGACAAAGGGACAGATACAACCTTTGACACTTTCACCTACTACAGCCTGAGCACTGCCATCTTACTAATGAGAGCAACCTATTTCTGCCTCACAGACCTACATTGGGAATGTGGTGATCTCCCTGAACCCATATCAGCCATTGCCCATTTACTCAGCAAAAACGGTGGAAGAATATAAGAACTGCAACTTCTTTGCTGTCAAACCTCACATGTAAGTGAGAAAGGAACGGAGTGGGAATTATCATACCCAACAACTCTCAGGAATCGATGCCAGGGGATGAGAGGGAGAAGGCAGATCCCGGGGGAATCCAAAGCAACAGCCCTCCTCATTCTTCTCCCTGTGTTTGCCCAGTTATGCCATTGCCGATGATGCTTACCACTCATTGAAGAATCAAGACAAAGATCAATGCATCCTTATCACTGGTGAGAGTGGGGCCGGCAAAACAGGTGAGTAAGGATTTCTGGGTTCCTCAAGAAAGGCATAGAAAAAAGAAAGCATTGGCAAGAGGCAACTCCTAGCCAAGCTTGGCGGAACTTGGAAGGGGCAGGAGAAAACCAGGGGTGGGGTCAGTCATGCATTGAGTTGATCACTGCAGGGACAGCTGGGGGATGCGACTGAAGACACCAAAAGACCTGGGAAAGTCTTCAAAGCAAGAGGATTCATTGCGCAATCCTCTTATCCCATCCTCAAACTTTGTGGGGGGGAGGATGTTTTGATAACTTTGCCTAAACATTTGTAATTCTGCTTTTTCTGTCCTTTCCCCTTTTCTTGCTAGTGTTAGGAGCTGTGTATTTGAAGCATTCGGAGATGAGCAGAGATCAATACATTTTTCAACCGTCATCTAAATAGCATGGGAGCAGACCACTCTTGAAGGGCTCTCTTTAAATAAATGCATTTTAATAGGAGCTTTCACAAATCAATGGAGCAGAATATAGAAGCAGGAGGGGGAGCGCAGGGGCAAAGTGGTTTATTAGAATTACTTTAGTGGCACTGACAGATGTCCACAAATTTAAGCCATTTAAGCAAACTTCCACAGCCTGTGTTGTATGGGGGCAGAGCACCCCTCATCACTAGTCAGCAAATCCTACTTGCTATATTCCTTGGGATGATAGAAGTAGCTTTGCAACCAATTTGAGACTACCAGGTTGGAGAGAGTTTCTCTAGCAATTGTTACTGCTTCGGTGGCAAGTTACATGCAAATCATTCCTCCACATGGAATATATTCCTAATTCACATGCAGTGCTATAATAGATGTGCCCTCTCTCCTTCCTAAATAACCAGATTGAAGTTTTAAATGCATTCTATAATCACAAGGAGGAATTTCCTCATGATTTAAGAGGGCTTAAGGAGTGGCACAGCCTGCCTCAAACTGTGGATCTCTTTGCAGAGAAACAGAAAGGGTTCTCTGGGCCTGGATAGCAACCTACATTCGGGTTTGTTTAGCAGTGGATTCCTATTGAGGATTTTTGCCGAGTAAGGAACAGGACAGGATGACATATAGCAATGGCACTTAGACTTATAGACCACTTCATAGTGCTTTACAGCCCTCTCTAGGCAGTTTACAGAGTCAGCCTATTGCCCCCAACAATCTTGAGTCATTTTACCCACCTCGGAAGGATGGAAGGCTGAGTCAACTTTGAGCCTGGTGAGATTCGATCTGCCAAATTGAAGGCAGCTGGCTGCAGCAGAAGGAGCTTGCAGTATTGCACTCTAACCACTGAGCCACCGAGGCTCTCTATATGCCCTTTCTCCTCTTTTTTGACCTTTCCAGACAGTCATGGTGACTATCTGGATGACTCCCTGAACTATTTTTTGGCAGTGACATGTCCTTGCTTCCTTTTCGGGGCTAAGAGAGAGAGTGAGAGAGAGAGAGAGAGACTGGCCCATGGGGATTTAGCTGGCCTTATGCCTAGGAAAGGACTAGATCTCATTGCCTTCTGATTTCTAGCCTTATGTCCTATCCACCTCATCAAAACGGAGTCTTTTTAAATATCCCTACCAAATCATATATTCTCTCACTGATTCTATGCTGCTCGCATTTTTTTTCTTCACTAGAGGCCAGCAAGTTAGTAATGTCCTATGTGGCAGCTGTATGTGGGAAAGGGGAGGAAGTGAATCGTGTCAAGGAACAGCTGCTACAGTCCAATCCTGTCCTGGAAGGTATGTACTTGCAGCCTTTGTAAGGGGTGAGAAAGGGAGGGATCAATTCTATAGGAACTGATCAGTATTTATAGGCATTCACTGGGGCACTGCCTATTATCACATTTTCCCCATAATGCAAAAACACAGTATTTTATAGCTGAGAAAGTGCAGATTTCCCAGTGGAGCACCAATGCTGCATTTGCAGTGGTTATAAGAAGGAGCTGATAAAGTTTTTCTTCACAGCTGAGTCAAAGACCTGTTCTCCTGCTCTTGAACTGGCAAATATATATATACCGGTACTGTATAAAATTTGCTGCCCATAATGGCAATCCCTAACTTACCACTGGCATGATTGATAAGGCAAAGCCCCTTAAGTGGGGAATGGCAATGCATCTGTGGTGCACCAAAACAAACTGTAACACATATAGTTCAATAATATGGAAATTTAAGGGTACCTGGGATGATCTCACTGCAGCTGCACTAGAAGCAGTTAGATGGTTAGATTCTTTAAATATTGAATTATAACATCTGTCCCCTTGCAATTCTATGACTCCATATTCGGATGATTTTACGATTGTTTTATCTTAATTCAATATATATTATTTCCCATATTGTCCAATATCTATATCTTCATATTTGCTGACATTTTATTTAAACTAAATTTGTATATCAGTGATTGTGTGACCTCTATAGATGCCATAGCTAAATAAATGAATTAAATTTAAAGGATAATGGGATTAATAGAGCTTGGGCACTGGTAGGTTCCTTGCTCTGTTTAGCTTCTGCTCCTGCCAAGCATTGCCAGTCAGTGAGAAAACATCAAATAAACATGCTACTTGGGACATGGGGGAGGAAATGCATTTATTTATTTATAATTTCAATTTCTAAAGTGCTCACTCATAGAAAGCTCTGGGCTAACAAGGATCAAACCCAAGTTTAAAAGACGTTCCTTCACTTTTTCTTTTTTCTTTTTGCAATCCTGGGAGCACTGGGATATTTATATAGTTCCTTTACAATAAGAAAAACTGAAAGACCCTCCCTCCTTCTCCTTCTGGAATGGGACAATCCCCCACAGCCAACTCATTACGGTCATCTTGCTGTGGCCAATGAACTTGTTGAAGATACTTCTGGGAAAGCTGGAAAAGATCATTTTGCTGCAGCCAACTTGCCATGGCCATTTCACCACAGGACGGCTCACCATGGCCACAGTGGACCAATTCACCATGGAAAATTCCATGTGTGATAACTGAACACAACAAATGTTACCTGCCACTGTTTCTTTGACATTATTCCCATTTTTGTCAATGGAAATAATGTCAAAGAAACAGTGGTGGATAACATTTATTACACTGAGTTATCCTGCATTTCTGTGGCGAGTTGTCCTGCAGCAAGATGTCCATGGCTCCGACCAAGTTGGCTGAGGCAAACTGACCTTTTCCAACTTTTCCAGAAGTATCCTCAACAGGTTGGTTGGGATTTTCCCCTGTGCTTATTGGCTGTACTGGTTGGCTAATATGTTTGAAGGTACCAAATTGGGAAATAACTGACGCGCTGATGGTTGTTATTTCCTATTGTTAGTCTATATTGTACCAGGGTTCTCCAAAGTAGTCAGTATTGACCCTCAACTGTCCATGGGATTATTCACTGTTGTTGTTATTCATAGTAGTATTAATTAAAGTAATATTTATTAAATTATTTTCATCTAATGAATGTTTGGGGGTCAATGAACAATCTGAAACTTCATGAAGGGGTCAATGAGATGAGCATTTTGGGGTCCCCTGGTATATGTATTTACTGGTATTTTGCCTCCCTAATCTTGCCCCAAGGCTTTATACTGCCGTGCTGCCAACAGCTAGGCTAGCCTACAAAATTATTCCTAGGGAACTGAGATATTGTTCCTCTTCTTTCAGCCTTTGGGAATGCCAAAACCATCCGCAATGACAACTCCTCCCGATTTGTAAGTACTAGATGGAGAATTACTACCGTACTGAGTGAATCTAGCACAACTTCTAATATTTCTTAGAAGATATGCGTTATAGAACTAGACTTGGGAGCAAGTCAGATTTACAATCCTTTCAAATCCTGGGTCCTGCATCACAATTATGCAACTCAAGTGCTGCACAAAGAAAAATGGGATGATTCGGCCTGCATAAATGATAAGGGTCAATTACACGTCCTGCATAATTTATTCTGTTTTTGCTCATCATAGAGGCAAGTAGATTTATAAAGCCTTTTCTTTTTACTTTTAGAAATGGTGGAAGTGGTTTTTTATTCTCTCTTTTTTTCTCTGTCTCACACATAAACTGACTTGGACTTTTTCGGGTATACAATTCCATTTTTGCTGTTTTGATGGCTAAATGTTTTTTAAAAGATTAGAATTATCAGGATATGGAGTTGTGACTCAATTCTATAATTAAATCACACTTAACATTTACCCTGACTTCATAAGAGCAGAGTGAATGATGTAAGCACTTCCTGGAATCTACTAAAATAGTTATTGTGTAGAGCAACATTTCATTGTTGTGTTCTACAGCCAGTTCCCCATAGAAAACACTAGCTGGATACCTGTGCTTTGCAACAAAACTTTGTGATTGGGCTATGCAGGAGAAATTCAGTTCACAATCCATTGGCTCAGTCAGTGGTGGTTAATGATTGAAACGCGTAAAGGAATATTGCTCCCACCACCTTGAGTTTGGAAGCAGTTCCATAGGTGGAAGGCGTAGACATTTTGGTGAGGTACCGACATTTAGTACTGTAAGAAGCCCCAGACTGCTCCTGAGTGAAGGAGTGGAACATCTGCCAGTTTGAACTGAGGTAACGGAATGTGAGGCAACTGGCAAATTGAACAGAATTCTTTTCAGGTGGGGGAGGGGGATCAGAACTCCTTAGCATCAGAGCATGTTAATTAATGTATAAGAAATACTAATGATCTGATGGTCATTTCGAAAAATCCTTTCATTGCGAGCACCTAGAAGCCAAGAGGAACATATGTGCCAAATTTTAAGTTTGTAGGCTTTACGATTCTGGAGATTTCGTGATGAGTGAGTGGTACTTGGCTTTTATATAGAGAGATAAGAATGAAATTGTCCGGTGAAATGGTTGTTACAGAAGAAAAACAACAACACATAGTTTAAATGTGGTTCTAAGTGGACATGTTGTAGCTCATGAGAGTGTGTTAACAATGAAAATGCATTAACAATATCTTTCACATTGTAGTAATGAGGCTTTAGAGAAAAGAAGGAAAGGAGAATTATCTTGTCCCTCTCATGCCAATTCTCTCATCTAGATCCCATACATAACTTTTAAGTGTGCACTGCAGAATGTGTACATATCATATTTCATTTGACCTTTAGTTACTGCCTTCAAACAATTTCCAGAAGAGTAAATATGTCAAACCAGTGCAACGAAACCAACAAACTACTCCATATAGAGCTTTAAAATACGAAATTCTTCTTTCGATCAAGATCAACTCCTGAAAAGTTCTTGGACAGAACCAGGCACAGAAATAGGCCTGTCTAATCTAGAGCTGTAGTTATCTCCCATGCAAGCAGAAGGTGTCTTGCCTTCCAACTTCAAACAAGATCATTCAAGTGCTGCCACCTGCTGAGGCATTTATTGTTCACATCACAATAAGTAGATTAGAGTTTCAAATACTACCAGACTCCGTTGTTTTCATAGAGTTAAGTTTCAAATCCACCCAGCTATATGTCTACGCAATACCTTGGACTAGCCTAGCCCAAAGCAAACGAAGAAGAAAAAAGAGCAGGGAAGCCATCACATTCATTAGGGATTCAAGGCTTCTCATTTGGGTCCAAATATTCCTCCCTGTTTCTTTTTCTCTCCAGGGAAAATACATGGATATTGAGTTTGACTTCAAAGGCGATCCTCTGGGTGGTGTCATTAACAATTGTGAGTATGATCTTCTAGACACGATATGATCTTCCAAATATGACTTCAGCAACAGAGTGGTCAGTCTCTGGAATACACTACCTCACTCTGTTGTTACATCCTCAAACCCCCAAAACTTTAACCTTAAACGGTCTACCGTGGACCTCACTCCATTCCTAAGAGGTCTTTAGGAGGCGTGCATAAACACACCAATGTGCCTACCATCCCTGTTCTAATGCCTGCATTGCAGTGGTCACATAGTAATAACAGCACGAATGAATTAAATAGGAAAGGGGGACACACTAGATAATGAACTTGAAAGCAAGCGACCTCAGAGAGCACCAAGGTCTGCTCATTTCAACCCTGAGCTTCAAATATTCTCCCTTATTGGAACTTGAGAGTGCCATGGTCTTCCTTGGCTAACGGAGGACATGTTCTAGCCATCCACAACAGCAGAGGAGCAATCTGGCCTTCAATTCTCCCAACCCCTGCCTATGTGTTTTCATTTTTGTTTTTCATTCTTGTCCTGCATTTACTTGCAGACCTGCTGGAGAAATCCCGAGTGGTGCATCATGTGAGGGGCGAGAGAAACTTCCACATCTTCTACCAATTCCTATCTGGAGGCTCAGACCAGTTGCTCAGTATGTCTTCACTCTTGACTTGGATGGGACTAGTCCCCTTACTCCCCCGCTTCAGGCACACATACACACACACACACACACACAGAGAGAGAGATACAAAATGAGAAAGGGACATGAGATGGGGGAGGTTGAAATAAGGGGAATGCAGGAACAATCTTGTTGGAATTTGGAAAACTCGTTTCAGGAAATGTTGAGTCTTCTCAACTCATTTGAGGTGTGGCTAGCCAAAGATGCTAAACCAATGGTTCCCAACCTTTTCCTCACCATGGGCCCTCTTTAAATGGCCATGGATTATGACCACAGTCCCCGAAATCTCTTAACTTGAGATTTAAATCATAACATTTTTTCAAGTCTTTGCAGACCCCCTGTGTTGACATTGTGGTCCCCCTTGGGGTCTGGGGACCCCAGGTTGAGAACCATTGTGTTAAATGGGTCTATGACAATTCACCAGGGCCAACTCTCCACGGCCATCTTGCCACAGGAAAACTCACTGTGGGAGAAGAATTATACTAATATCAAAAAATTGGTGGAATAGAACCATTAAAGTAAAGATGCAAAAGGAGGGACAGAATGAAATGTAAATGGCAAAAATTAAAATAATTTTTATTTATTTTAAATAATTAAATAGAATTGGTAAATTGTCCCGCAATAAGTTTTCCCATGGCGAGTTGGCCGTGGCAAGTTGTCCCGCAATGAGTTGACTGTTGTGAGTTGGCCGTGGTGAGTTGGCTGCAGCAAGTTGGCTGCAGCAAGTTGTCCCATTCCGTGCTGGACCATTTCTTCCCAGCAGCTGGGAAGACACGGAATAGCAGGAACCAGAGTGGGATATTCCCGTCCAGGTACATTGTACAACAATCTCCACTGTATTTCCACAGCAGCATGTTAACTGGCCATGGCAGTTATAGTCTAAAGCAGCTAGAAAATATCAGATTGTGGTAAATGGAGTTATGCAAGTCAGTACATTCGGCCCAAAATACCAAGTCATATTAAAGGCAAGATATGGAATGTCTGCTTTAGCTTGAAACTGATTGGCACAGAAGAACCAAAAAGACATTAGAGGTAATCATCTACTTACAAGCGCAATTGAGCCCAAGTTTTCTGTTGCCAAGTGAGAGATTTGCTAAGTGAGTTTTGCCCCATTGTATGACAGTTGTCAAGTGAATCACTGCAGTTCTTAAGTTACTAACATGGTTGTTCAATGAATCTGGCTTCCCCATCGACTTTGCTTATTAGAAGGTCACAAAAGGTCATCACAAAACCCCGGGACACTGCAACCATCATAAATATGAGCCCATTGACAAGTGTCTGAATTTTGATCATGTGACCATGGGGATGCTGCACCAGTCATAAGTGTGAAAAACAGTCATAAGTCACCTTTTTTAGTGCCTTTTTTAAAGTAATTTCGAACAGTCACCAAATGAACTGTTGTTAATTGAGGACTACCTGTATAGCATCTGAACAAAAAACCCTCTTGACTGGAGTGGGTGATACTCAGGACTCTGTTCTCACAATTCCTTCGCTTCAACAGAACAGCTGAAACTTGAAAGAAAATTCAGCCTTTATAACTACCTCAACAAGGAAGCTGCAAGCTTGCAGGGCATTGACGATGCAGCCAACTTCAAAGCTGTGCAGGTATGTGTAATATTATACTCTTTGTGTAAGACATAATATAAATTATATTGGCGTAGAGCAAAAGAAAAACTATGCATACTAACAGCTAGTAATTATCCAAAGTTGGATTCCTACATTATGTATCTCATATTAACACAGTTGAGAAAGTCCAGAAATATTTCACAAGAAGAGTTCTCCATTCCTCTACTCAATGTAGAATACCTTATGTCACCAGACTCGAAATTCTAGACTTAGAAAACCTAGAAATACTCCGCATCTGGTTTGATCTAAATATAGTATATAAAATCATACATTGCAATGTCCTACCTGTCAATGAATACTTCAGCTTCAACCATAACAATACAAGAGCAAACAATAGATGCAAACTCAAGGTTAATCGCACCAAACTTGATTGCAGGAAATATGATTTCAGCAACAGAGTGGTCAATATCTGGAATACTCTACCTAACTCTGTGGTTTCTTCCCTAAACCGCAAAAACTTTAACCTTAGACTGTCTACTATTGACCTCACCCCTTTCCTAAGAGGTCTGTAGGGGGCGTGCATAAGCTCACCAACGTTCCTACCGTCCCTGTCCTATTGTTTCTTTTATTTTTCTCATATGTATCCATGTATTCATAACTATATTTATCCTTATACCTATTAACTTGTAAGCAATTGACAAACCAAATAAATAAATACATTGCCAAAACCACACTAACCCTCTCCCCACACACACACACAAAAGAGGGGGG